ATATATATGTTTATTAAAAAAAAATTAGCTTGCTCTGATTGGGAAATATTTTCATTATTTTCTCCAATATTTAAATTTCAGTAAATCACAAGGTGCTGGTGGTGGTACGATGTGTAACTGCAATAGGTGTGAGATAATGGAAAGAGCACTGGGCTTGAAGTATGGTTTACTCTCTTTCCTACCTATTGCACTCTGTGACCTTGGGCAAGTCACAGAACATTGTAGAGGCTGCAGATTTAACATTAGTCAGCCATAACATGAGAGAACAACCACCTCACAGAATTATAGTGAAAATGAAATCACATAATGTATATGAGGCCCTACCCAGGTAGCTCAATTGGTTAGTGTGTCCTCCCCATAAACCAAGGTTACTACTGGTTCTATCCTCGTCAGAGCACATGCAAGAATCAACCAATGAATGCATAAGTGGAACAATAAATCAATGTTTCTCTCTCTTCTCTCCCCCTTCCTCTTTCTCTCGAAAATCAATCAATAAGATAGTAACAGCTGTTCCTTAGTTTTTTAACTACTAGAACAATTCTGTGGATGCTTCTTCAAAGTACAGCCAGGAAAACACAACCAATCCCCACTCATTGCTAGATTAAAAATTGAAGAACAACTGTATTAAAGACCTCTATCCCTGCCCTAGCCGGTTTGCTCAGTGGGTAGCGCGTGGGCCTGCAGACCATAGAGTCCTTCTTCCATTCCAGTCAAGGGGACGTATCTCAGTTACAGGCTCCTCTCACCCCACCCTCCCCGCATCCCGGTGTGCGCAGGAGGCAACCAATTGATGTGTTTCTCTCACATCCATGCTGCTTCTCTCTGTCTTTCCCTCTCTCTTCCACGCTCCCTAAAAATCAATGGGAAAGTATCCTCCGGTGAGGATTAACAACAACAAAACACCTCTATCCCTATACAATATTACTAACACAATCTGAGAATCTCAGAATAAATCACTTCCAGTATGAGCTTCCATCATGAGATATGTAAATAATAAAGGACAAAGGGCTTTGTCTGCCTACATGGCTAACGTGGGAATTTAACCTACATAACTTCCATAACCTTCCCTGATTCCTGTAAAGCAGTCCTGGTTGTCCTCATTTCAGCGACTTGAAATACTGAATCTTTTCCAACAGGAACACCTGCGTTATAAAGCGTTATCTTAAGCTAAATTCCGGCAATTCAGTCTTCCAACCGGACATACATAGTTACCATTACCTCACAAAGTTGGGTCAAATCCACAAGATTCACGCGTTGCAGTAAGGACTGTAGTACTTACTACCGCTTCTCTAGCAAACTGGCTTCATTCTTTTTATTTGGTGAAATAGTCCTTTTTTTTTTTTTTTGCTTTCTAGAAGCCACTAAGTTTGTTTTCTCTATAAAGCAGGCCCTTCTATTAATGGACGTTTTCGTTCGTCATTTTAAGCAGAATAAATAGGAGATGTTGGGGCTGAGGTCCTGCGGTCTGGTTCCGCACGCGATGAATGAAAGGCTGGTCGCCGCTTAAACCACTTTCTCTCCGAGTTTCGAGAGGCGCTGCCACTGCGCCCACCCGCACCGGCGCTTCGGTTCCCCGATCTCAGCGGCGCCCCACACAGACATCGCTGCACATCCTAACCTTTCCCCGTTTCCCCGGGAGTGGGCTCATCTCTTTCCCAGAGGACAAGTCCCCGACCGAAAACGTGCCGGAGACCCGCGCCCTGGGTCGCCCGGGGCTGACGGTTAAGACCGAGACAATCACCCCGAGATTTTCCACCGAAACTCCGTCCGCCTCCGCCCGGTTCCCGAGCTTCCGCTCTGCGCAGCCGGGATGCAGAGGTCCGAAGCCGGGCGGTTTTGAAAAATGGACTTTGACCCGATCCGGTTACCGTAACCGGATCCCCAGGGGCCGGTCCCCGTCAGGGACTGGTCCCGGGGGCTCCCCCGAGGAGGCAACTCCAGGCACAGGCACAAAGGGACGCAAAGCAGCCCAGACAAAGGGCTCCGCCAAGGCGCCTGGGGCGGAGGGAGAGCCCGCGCGGGGCGCTCAGCAGGCGGAGCAGTCCCGCCGGACCGTTGTGGGAGGGAGGGCGCAGGAGGAGGCGGCGGCCCCAGCCCGTCCCGTCCGCCGCCCGCGGCGACCGCGGCCCGAGCCCTGTCCCTCCCCCGGACCGCGACCCCCTGGCGGAACCAAGAAGGCGACCCGAGCCTAAGGAGCGGCCGCAGCCGGACCCCGGGCACTTCCCGCTCACTTTTCCTTGCTCGTTGAACTCACCGGGGTCGCCCCGCCGCCTCCTCAGCCTCCACAGTAGTTTCCCCCGGAAATCCTACTTGGCCCACCGGCCGCCAGCGGCTGCCAGAGCCTGCGGCCCCCGGGAGGGGGGAGAGAGGGAGCAGGCCGGACAGTGAGGGGGTAGGGAGTGTCGCCGCGGGGGCTCACGGAACTTGTAGTCTCCAGCCCCCCGGCCAGCTCTGTTGGGGCCGACAAAATGGCGGAAACGTCTCGCTGTTTGCTCTCCGGGCGGTCGCCCCACGCGGCCTCTCTGGGCATGCGCCGCCCACTGGAGCCCCGCGTGGAAAAGAATTTGGGCACTTTTCCTGGTATTGAGGGGGACAAAGGTCTATGGACTTGGAAGAACAGAGTTCAGTATACTGAGCTCCAGGCAGTGCCTAAGGTGGCAGCTGATGTAAGTGTTCTGTTTGAGAAAACTGTGCGGCCCAATTTCAAGTATAATCTCCCCAAAAGAAAAGACAAAAACTATTCACGGCCGATTTGAAGTGCAAAAAATTTAGACGCAAGTTTCCTCAGGTTTGTGCATAAGGAAGAAGCTCATTCTTAATGCCTTCAGCCCGTTAAATCCAGTTATTCCCGCATCGCAAATATCTCAGTTCCTTCCCATTGTCTCCGTTACCATCACTTGGCGGAAGCCACCAACATCGCTCTCCAGAACTCACTAGTTTCAGGCTCCAGGAGAAAGCAAGGCAGGGAAACCTCGCAGGGACGGCGAGCCTTTTGAGCTCAGCGTGTCAGCATTTTCAAAAACCCTAACTTAACTCTGGTGCCGTGTCACATATAGACATTTTTTGATATTTGCAACCATAGTAAAACAAAGATTTATAT